TCGTTTCTGTAGTAGAACGTGCCGCGCTCGACCGGCTTCGGGTAGCGGGAGCTGCGACACGTCGTACTGTAGTTCAAGGCGTGCGAGACGCGACGAGTGCCGTGCACACGCGTAGTAAGAACCACAAAACAAGACGGAAAAGAGTTCGGCAGCTGGTTGGTAGAGGTTTTGGTAGAACTGTGTGGGTTCGACACAACGATGCCACGAAAGGCAGATCGACGTCCTCGACGTGGTAACTCGACGCCGTGCGGAGGCGACGCCGTCACGGAGGACGAATCCGGGCGCTATGCGGAGCGCTCATCGTGCGTTACCTCTGCGGTGGAGTACTTTTCGTTGTACTCGATGTACAAAAAGGGAAGACGAAAACGTAGTCAGGCGAAAGACTTAGGCACAAAACCAAGGGACAAAGGGGTCGGCCCTCGAGATAATGCCACTGCGTTGATCGATGATCCCCTCGAGTCCTTCCCCTTCCCTACTTTATTATATCTACTACTGTAGTCCCCGTTCTTCCAGTGCCAGACTGTAACGGTACGACTACACGTCGGACAGTAACGGTCCTGCACTTGGGCGCCAGCGAGGTACGCCGGTATCATACATTAGACGGTATGATTCGAGTACAGCACGTACACGGACGCGAATTGCGCTGCCCAACTTACCGGGCGATAAGGTAATTACCTTTCGAATTGGGAATTAACCAATGCGGTCCTTGTCATACACCAATGGGTGTTCGAGTACAGTATGTACATTAGTAGACACTTGGCGATATACCACATGGCCCCCTCCTCGCCGTGAGCGTCCCGCTCAAATTTTGCAAAAAATATTTTCTGAAAAATTACACACGGCGCGTGCGCTAGGGACTCATGTGTCCCACTTCAAAATTTGCGCAAAAATTAAGCAGGACAAATCAGCTGCGGACACGTGTGTCCTCGTTTGGCCACCTATTTTGCCAAGCGTGCATCTCGCCGTCGGAGTTCGAATATGTTGACAGCGCAGCATCTGGTGCGCCTGCGCGCAGCGAAGGGGTAGACGATCGGTCCGTCTCGTTTCAGTTTGTCGTCCCACGACTCGTTCTCCATTTCTCAGTTCGATTCGATCACACTCTGTTTTTCTTCTGCATAAGGTAAGCCGTGCAAGCTTCTTTTCGTTTTCCGTACCGCGGGCGTCACCGGTTGCTCCGCGCAGTCGTTCTGACTTAACAGATCGTGTTTTTCGGCGTCTTTTTTGTGACGCAGACGTATCCGGCGGGATCCCGCCTCGCTTGCGATGTCTCCGAACGACAACGTTGTGCCAAAGCTTGCGCCATCGCTCTCGGACAGGCCGTCTGTTCCTGTTTCGAGTGCCCCGCCTACGCTTGGGCTCGCGTCGGAAGGACCGCCTGCCGTCGTCACCACCGAGGTTCCTTCCGTCTCGTCGGGACTCCCCGTCATTACAGTGCCATCAGGGCCTGTTCGTATTTCCCCAGATTTTTCAGGAGGCGATCCTGTCGTTTGTTCGTCGGGGAACATCGTGGACAAGCAAGGTCCTCCCGCCGTGGGCTCTTCATCGGCGTCAGGCCCATCGGGGGTCTGTGATCAGGCATCCGACGTGCCGTTCGGCGTTGCGAGCCTGAAGCCGAAGCGCCAGTCTGCTCTGGAGGAGTCTGGAAACGTGAACGTCACCAAGCCAAGTGGCCTTATGACGTTGCTCCGTTACGAGTGGTACTGTGCCACGCCAAGTTATTCAGTATTCGGAAGCTGTCTTGTCCCGGGATATCCGTACAGAGAATCCCCCCGAGCGAGGGCGTCTTGCGGATCGGTTCTGCAACGTCGCTGCTTGGCCGTGCCGATACTTCCGCTCAATCCCTACCGAGAGCAGGATTGACGTACGAATGGGAGGAGTTCCCTCTTGTAGACGTGATACTCGAAGATGTCCTTTCCGTGGACAGTCCCCGTCCTGACCTCCGTCGGTTCCAGAAAATGGCGGGAGGTGGGACATCGTCGTCCATCGTTACGTCCTGGGAAGAATATTTTCGGCAGGGACCCGCGTTTCAGGTGCCTTTGGAATTTCCGTGTGACCGCTCGTTTGTAATTTCTTACTCCGAAGTGGAGTACGTTGACCGAGCCGCTCGGTTACTTTTCGGGACTGTCGACCCGTCGGATACAGAGATGCCGCTTCCTTTGGTCAAGCCTCTGTATAGGTACCCAGTTCCGGGCTCAGAAGGTCTTCGTCCGGTGGTAACGAAAGCCACCGCGGGCTTAATGCGCCGCACTGGCCGCTTGTTGTGGCCATCCGACTGGCTCGTTCATCGCTGGAGCGGATCGCATGAGTCTGGAGTGACTCTGTCGTCGGAGTTGGCGATTGGTCTTACCAAGATAGACTTTGCGGAGCTCCCTCCGGTCGTTTGGCAGTCCATGCCACCGGCAGGGGTGCCCGTACTCTGTCCCTTCGTTTTAAGGTACTTGGGCTATGCCGCGAGCGACCGCCGGCACCCGTATCTTTCTCGCCTCGAGCGAGTCGTAACCTTCGAGTGGTCCGTTAACGTTGCATTTGCGATCATGCAGCAAGCTCTCTGTGAGCGTCGAGCCTTCCTCGTCTCAGACGGCGTACTTAATGCACTCCATTCGGTCGTGGCAGGCGCCTCGTCTGGCAGCCCCGCTCGTTGGTCGTGGCACTCCACGAATGTGGTCGTTCTCAGAAGCCCTGGGACTTATGGAACGCGTCCGTAGTGCACCAGAAGCACTTTTCGTCGTATGGGAGGATTTTTCGACCGGTATCGAATCGTCGTACGTGTACTATCACGCTGCGTCGTACTCCTTCCGTCGAGAGTACAGAAACAACCCAAGCTCAGGACGTCAAGGGCGTTTGGGACTGGATCACAAGAGGGACTACAGTCACGTTGCTGGAGAAGTTGCTTCTCTCCCAGCACCGTCTGGGGCATCTCTAGATCCTCCAGTCGTTGACGCAAGGGCCATCGTCGAGTCTGATATTACCAGGGACGACCTGGTTCGTTTGCCCAAAGCGGTCGAAGCGTTAGGCCAAAGGGCCTACGAGTCTTGGAATGTCGGCTCGATGATCGAGACGTTAGCTCGCTGGTACCTTGTTCGTACAGCAGAGCTTCGTGAGATGAAGTGGGACCTTCGTGGTGCCCTTTCCGAGGCCACCCTAGTAGACAAAACATCAGTTGTCGGACAGGTAGTGGACAGGGGTGGTCCCATGTGGACAACTATTGGCCACGTGTTGGCAGCTAACAGCACTTGGAAATTTAGTGGACACCTAGTATCATCTAATTGACCGCATCTGGACGTTTGCGTGAAGAGGTGCAACTACAGTTCATGATAAAGCCAGTTCCTTGACGACTAGCGGACAACATTTTCCCAAGTTGTGCAGTTCCCGTGGGGGACGACGACGGTGGCAGGGGGCAGAGAAAGGGGGGTGGCGAGGGTGCCGGGAGGAAAGGTGATCGAGCAGCACTTGGGAGATAATTTATGTGGGGGAGCGGAAGTTTATGGTAAAATTAAAGTTACCGGGCGGTGACGCGGTGCAGTACGGTACCGGGGTCATGTGCGCGTGACGGCATGAAGCTAACGTGCCACTTCTTCGTCGCGTCGACGCGTCTGTACAAGGCAGGCGCGGGGGGAGGGGGGAGGGTCTCAGCAGACGGCGAACGCGACGGGCTCCTGCATGATGTGAGCTTACTCGTCGTCCTTGCGCGCGGCGTCGCGGCACACGAGCAGCTCGCACAGTGGTTCGTCCGGCGTCCGCAGCGCGTCGGACAGTGGCGACTGCTGCCCCCGGTCCCGCTGGTGCATGTCGGACCCGGTGTCCACCAGGAACCGCGCCATGTCCGTCGTCTGCGTGCCACCGCAAAGTGCAGCGCCGTGCGCCCGTCCGCGTTCGCAAAGTTCTTTGCGCGGAGCAACCCAGCGCGCAACGCCGGTCAGCAATCTTTCTCTCTCTCGCTCTCGCTCTCTCGCGCGCTCGCAGGGGGAGTCACTTACCGTTGGCGCAGAACGTGTGCACGAGCTGCTGCGCGGCGCGGACGGAGCCGACTGCGGCGACGGTGAGAAAGTCTCTGCCGAGGGCGTAAGCGGAGTCGAGGTGGGCGGGCTGCACAGCCGCAGGGATTTGAGCGGCGACCTTTGCGAGGACGCGGAGGGTGTTGATGCGTCTGTGTCTGAGCGCGTCTGCGACACATGTGGCGCCGAAGCGGTCGCGGGGCGCGCGTGCAATGGGGGCGCGGCCGTCCGTGCACGCCAGGCGCAGCGGCGTGCCGCTGTCGTAGTCACAGTAGTTAGCGAGCGCGGCGCGCGCGGGCGGGGCGTGCTGCCGCACCAGCGCGCGCACCAGCGCCCAGTCATCCTGCGCGATCGCGCACATCAGCTGGATGCCCTGCGCGCGGGGCGGCGCGTCGGCGGGCTGCGGGGATGAAAAGGTTGAGGGTTGAGGGTTGGGGGAAGGGGCGCGAAGGCGGCGGCGGTGAGCGTGGAGGGCAAAAGACTAAGTGGAGTTTGGTGGTGTTGAAACCACTCCGGCACACACATCTGACATCAGAAGGAGACGCAACGCGCTTTGCGACGCGCCACGTATGCGTAGGGTTTCCAACTGACGTCCTCCAGTGAATTTTCTCAAAATTTTCGACGCTGTACACACGTGTTCCTAGACGTTTGTCTAGGTGTAAGCAAGAAAAAAGGGGACGGCTCGTTACACGTGTTCACTTTTCTGTAAAGTACACGTATTCACTTCTCTTTATGAAGGGAACGGGGTGGTGCTGAACTTTTCTGTAATAATAATAATTAAATTAATAATTAATAATAATAAAGTAGTATGTAAAGTAGTAAAGTACACGTGTTCACTTCTCTTTATGAGGGGAACGGGGTGGTGCTGTCCGCACGGCTGTTCGCAGAGGTGTACCCTTGAACTGTGAAGAGTAGCGTCCCTTGCCATCTTGTTCAGTACGAACATTACCCAAAAGTCTGCGATCGCCTTGTACAAACGCAAACTCTCTCAACGCGCTCTACGACAACGAGCACAAAAGATTTTATTGGAAAATATCACAAGGGCGACGGAAAGGGCATGCAAGATTGCTCCCAGGATTGGAACACATGTTCCGCAGCGAACAGCCTATCTACGAGTCGTCCAGGGCACGCTGTGAAAGGGATTCGGTCAATGAGGTGCAACTTCTCACCTTTGATATGAGCAATCGATACGTTTTGCTTGTGGCAAACGGTCTTAAAAGAATAGAGGCTTCCGGGATTTCTTTCTGACACGGTAGATGTCACCCCGATACATGATGTGTGCAGCGCTGCTAAGACAGTCATTGGTATAGAATTTCCGTTCATTGTTCTTCGAGATTCTTACTTGGAGGAGTGGTCCGTTAAACCCGATGATTGTTCAGACTCGGGAAGCCGCGGTATTCTCGTTGTTGGGTGCCATGAGAAATCTGAACGAGTGCCTTCTGGATGTAGTTGGGTGGCCATCACCGATAATCACGGAGCGGTGTCGTCCATGTCTCGCACTCGGAGAAAGGAGCGGAGCAAGCTATTCGACGAGAACTGGAACAGGCCGCAGCCAACGTTTCGCCGCCTCGACGGGTGCCTTGGGCCTCTGTCGAATGGCACCATGAAACGCTTCGAAAAGTGCGCGAAATATTGCGTGGACGCAATTGGCATCTGATAGGGTATCTGGTTCAGATCCGTACGTCATACAGAGGAGCCGTGCTAAATATCAAGACGAATGAGAGTGATTACTACCTAAAATGCAGCCCATCCACGTCGAAAGATGCTGGAGTGCCGTCAATAATGTCAAGCGTTGCTCCTGATCTTGTCGCCAAGCCGTTGTTTGCAGACGTGGAAAGTCGTCAAATGATCCTTGCCGACCACGGTGAGGAGACTGGCATGTGTATATTGGAACTTGAAGGGCGTAAGCAGGTGGTGAGAGATACGGTGCGTCTGCACCGCGCAAGCAGGAATGTGTTGCCCGATTTGTTGCAGACCGGGCTACCATGTTATTCACCGCTGTGGATGCGTGAGAACTTGACCTCATTTTTTCAGTCTAAGGAGCTTTTGTCTGTGCGTGAAACGAAACCAAGCCAGAAGCTGTCCAACACCAAGGTCAAGCTGCAAGAAGACCTGACGGAACTAATTTGATGGGAAATGCCTAATTGTTTGATACAAAATGACCAGTTAGAAGGGAACCTAACCAGGAAGAGTGCCGATGAGGGTCTAGGGTTCCGGTTTTTTGATTTTGACAGCTCTTTCGCAAGCTATCCTTTGTTTGATGTGCACTGGTGCAACTGAGAATTGTCGGAGGTCTATGCACAGAAAATGGACATAGCTGACATTGATGGGTTGTACAGCTTAACCGCGAAAGTCGATGATCGTTCAGATCTCGTGCGGGCATATAGATACTTGGACATGGCTAGTGTCTAGACGACAAGCAATTTGACCCCATATGAGGCCAGCTTTTTTTTTGCAAAAATATATAAATTAAATCGAAACTTTAAAACATTCAGTTTGGACACCATTTCTTTAACGAATACGCGCTCGGCAATAACATCTTGCAAAACATTGGGATGGCGGTTGTCAATGCACAGAGAGACTAAGAATCTAATGAAGTATCAATGATGAGTTGTCTTTTTAAACAGGCGTTTTGGTTTCGAAGATATCAACATAAAACGTTTTGAGGTTGGTCAAAAAAGGCTCCTTTTTGGGCATTTTAAAAATGGCTGGAGAAGACGTGCAGATCTCACCAAACTCCACCCTTCTACAACGCAGAAGTCAACTGCCGTGTCGAGAGTATCTTTTTTCCATCTTGTTGAGCTAGCACAAGTCGAGAAAAATAAGTTGAAAAGTGACCTCATATGAGGTCATTTGTCACCTAGACAGTAGGGAAGCGGAAGACGGTGCACCGCAGGAAGACGCCCTTCACTGGCTGGAGAAAAGTTTTCGGGTAAGAAGGAGGAGAGAGAGGTCTTCAACGCTCTACATCTGCGTTCCCGACCCGCAAGACCCGTTTTAAGAGTCCCGGCCCCAAGCCAATGCCCGCGCCTCCATTGGTCGATGTTTCCCCTCGAATTAGAGCCCGCCGATCGCACCGCGCCTGTCCAGCAATGCCGGCAGTGCCGCCCACTCTCCCCATCCTCTCCCGCCCGGCACCTCCCCGCCGCATTCCCCGACCCGCTCCCTCCCGTCCGCCATGCTGCGCGCGCCGTCCGTCGCGAAGATCCCGCGCCTCGCGCCCGCCCGCCGCGCTCGCCCTGCCGCCGCCGCTGCCGGCCATTACGGCGCTCGCCGCGCTGTCGCTGCTCATCTACACCGCGGCGCGCCCGCTGCTCGCCCACGCGGCGAGCCTGTACCTCGGCGCGGGCGTGCGCGTGGGCGCCCTGCGCATCTCCCCGTTCCGCTGGGCCGTCGCGCTCACGCACGTCTGCCTGCACGAACTGCGCGGCGGCCCGCTGCTCGCGCGCGCGCCGAAGCCCGCGTCCGACGCGGACAAGGCCCGCCCCCCTGCCGCCTGCTCTACGTCGCCCTCACAAACCCCTTCGTCGTCACCCTCTTCGACACGTACGACTTCTCGCAGAGCAACTGGACCCTCTTCCTTGCCCGCTTCTCCGCGCGCGAGGGGACCGGCGCGCCGCCCGCGCCCGCGCCGCCCGCGCCGCCTGCGCCGCCCGCGCCGCCCAAGACGCCGCCTGCCCCGCCGGTGACGGACGTGCGCGTGTCGGTCGTCGACGCGACGCGCCTGTCGCTGCGGTCCGCGCTGCTGGCGGACGCGCGCCTGGTCGACGACGTGCTGCTGCCGGACGTGTCCGTGCGGTACGCGGAGCTGCGCGCGCAGGGCGGGCTTGCCGCCTTCGTCGAGACGCTCGCCGGCCGCGCCGTGCAGTCGGCACGCGTTTGCTCGTTCCCGCGCGAGTTCCGCGCGGGCGCCAGAAAGTACGCTCGCAGAGTCGTCACGGAGGGGCTGGTCAGGGGCATCCGCGTGGGAAGGGAGCGCGTCACGACCGTTAGGAAGGGCGTCGGGAGAGTCGAAGAGTTCGTCTTTGTGTCGACCACCATCCATCGAGAGAACGTAACCATGGCGATAAATGATATGTGGAGGAACAATGGACAACTATTGACAACAGAGCTGGTCCTTATCATTGGGAAAACACTCACTAGTTCATTCTTCTTCAATTAGATCATTAATAGGCTTCGACGAAACGAGCACTCAGGGAGGGTCTTAACTTGCCCGAGTTTGCCCGGGTTTGCTTGCCCCGAGCCATGATTTGCACTACTATTGGCTACTGGGCGTTAATATATGATTTGAAACTAAGTACGACCCTACACTGCAAGCTCAAGTTATGTCAGTGTGTAATGACAAATGTCAATCATATATTGGCTACTTTTGTAAGTTTGTAACTTTCGAATTTGGACGCTGTGCTCCGGTGGACGCAGTGCTTGCCCCTTGCCGAAAACATCCTCAACTCCCACTTTGCAAAAATCTATGCACCTGCCATCTCGCAAAGGCAACCCAACTCTACGAAGCACCTCTCTGCCGACTACTTTCCTGAAAATGGCTTCCACACCTCAATGCCACGTGCGCCGTTCTCCGCGCCTCTGGCGCATCTCTCTGACTCCCACCATTCTTAAGACGGGGACCACCAACGCAAAGTCTCTCACTATTGCTTCCTCGTCTGCAGCGGACGTTTCTGACCAAATATTATCCCCCCCTCCATACGGTATGTACGACTGAATTCTTTGTCGTTAAAAATCCTGTTGGCTCTGACAAAAGTCCATCCCCGTCCGAGATCTAAGGGCTTTGTGAATTTTCGGGGTCGAGGATAGTTTGAAATAGCTTGGTGCAATGAAAGGAGGGAGAATAGAGCTGCGGTTGCGGTTAGTGCGGTCGTAGCAGTGATGATTCTATTGCCGTGCATTGCGTAGGAGTGATTAGATTGAGAAGAAAGGAGGGGAGGCGAACGGCGATACTGGGCAGTGGTTGTAGATCCGTTTTTTGACCAAACAGCGCCGGCGATAGATACGCTATCCCGCGGAGTAGTAAGGAGAGAAGTAGGGGGTGAGATCAATTATTTATCCCGGTGATCTGGGATCACCCGCAATGGCCACGTTCTGGGTCGGAAGCGAGCGACGCTGCAGCGTCTCGCGTCCATGTCGACGCGTCCCTGGGGCGAAGTTGTTTGACGCTGCAGCATGTCACGTCCCTGTCGATGCGTCCTCGGAGCGAATTTGTAGAACCCAGTGTCCTCCCCGTTGCGTTCTGGCAATTTATGGCGCTGTATGCCTCTGTAAGTCAGCACCGTCGCTCTGGGACACCTGTCCACTACTAACGTAAGGGAAAGGACACCTGTCCACTACTAACGAAAGGGGAAGGCGTGTACTTACATTAATAAATTAATAAATGACCGGCAAACTCGGGCAAGCAAAGCAAACCCGGGCAAGTTAAGACCCTCCCTCAGGCAGCGTCATAACATCACGAGCCTGTTTCACTGGGGCGGGCGTCGGTGCACCGTTGTCAAAGGATGATCTTGGCGTTGTTCTATGCGCCATGAGATGCGCTTACAAGGATCTACTTACTCTCTTCTCACGCGCTTCGAGAGACCGCTTTTTGGAGGGGCTTTGCGGGTGCGCGTCGGACGACCAGAGCGACCTGCGCGAACAGGAGTGGTGCTTACAATTTTTCCTTGCAGATTCGTTGCCATTGACATACCTGTTCGTGTTGCAGGCACATTCGTAACGGCATTGGAAAGCGACGGCGTACGGCGGAGGTTTCCAGAACGACCATCACCTCTTCCCGAAGGCCCTTGCCAATATGCACCTGTGTCTACATGTCCATTCTCTATGTCCGAAGCCCGCAGATTATCCAATTCAGCCTGAAGAGCGGCTATGCGACGCATACGCGACTCTATACCATTGCCACTTGCACTGACCGGTTCGTCTTCTCTCAAGATTGTCCTAGATGAAAATTCGGTATTCCTGTTTCGGTAGGGCTGATCTGTGCCTTCATCTTTAAAGCGAACTTGGCGTGTGCGAGCAAGACGAACTTCAACATTTGTTTGGATTTCATCTTCAGAATCGACAGGCAGACGCCCTTGCCCTGCCATTGCAGAATCCCACGGGGTACGTTCAGTCTCATTTTCAATCCCCAAAGTAGGGTTATTACGCCTCGCGCTCGTCTCCAGTCGATATCCGGGTCCGTTTCGATGGACAGGATCCATGTCGGGAACGACATTGACTGCAGGATGTTCAATCAATCCCCTCCTTCCCTCCATAACACGACCTGCATTTCCGTTTTCTTCATGAACAGGACCCGCAGAGCTCTGATCTGCTACCACCATATCTCCATTATTGATAGCTTCTCCCTCTGTAAGAGCTGGGATACCGGTACCGAGACGTCGATTCTCGGCGGCTCAAGCTTTCCGATGCTCCCGGCTTGCAGTTTCCATTTTCAGTTCTAACAAAAGCTTTATCAACCAGTCATCCTCTCCTTGGGCAAATACAGCAAGAGCAGAGTTCTTGCCCAGTTCCTGAACCACTTGATCCATTTTCTCCCACATCATGTTAGTGGCCTGGTGGTACGTCTTCTTCTTATACACATCCATCCCTTGCAACATTCTTCGCAAAGTAGTGTCCACAATGCGATACGCTTGCTCGTTCCGGGCTCGGTCGTCGTCCTTGTCTTCAAATTCTAACATCTGTCTCCCAGGATTGTTCGGATATTGAGCGTTGTGGTTCTTGGTATACTGATTAGCGTATCGAGCCGGGTTACGACGCCTACTTCCATCACGTCTTGCATTTTCGTCAATCGAAAGCCCAACCATCTTCTTTTGGCGAATAGGACGGGCGATCAGGGGGCGATTCATTTCCATTGCTGATGCGACTGGTCGACAACTCCAGGAAGAAACGACAGAGGGTGCGGTTGACGAATATTGTGCGGACCACCGCAAATGAAAATGTAACCAGCAGTCCTGAAACGAATGCTTTATATTAATTTCTTGGAACGGGGTAATCTTTCGCTTCCGTGACGGGTACCAGAGAGTCGGAGAGAAGTCTCACCTCTTCTGCTCTTTGAAGTTCGCGAGACTACTACCACTCCCGCACGACGATCTCTAAACATCAAATCACTTTCAATATTTTTCGCGATGCTCGTTTACGCGGACCTCCCTTTCTCCTTGTGAAATCCAGGAACTAACCCAACTCGTTTACGTCGAAATACAACAGTCCTTTCTGATCATGGCTCTGGAACCTTTGGCGACAATCCGCCGGTACATATATCTTGCCGAGTATGGGTGCCAATGTCGTCCGCCAGGAAAACCAGTTTCAAAAAAGACAATGTTGCCGCACAAGAAAGAATTGAATACTGAGCGAAGGCTCAAAAATCCTCGTTTACTTCCCTCAGGACCAACGTTCTCAGAAGACGCTGCCGTTCAGCAGAGACGAAGGTTCAACGAATTACGAGAACAGGAAGGATCGGATGAAAGTGGGCAACTACGACAGTGTGGCGACTGCAATGCCTCCGCTGTCCCGGGTAACTCCTCCGAGGAGGCCTCCCTTGAACAGCCTAATAGTGCCCTACGACATGCATCGCAATCACGTGTACTGACAGCTCTGCTGAGAACGACTTCCAGTGATGACTTAATTAGCAGCGATGCGGAGCCCGTGAATGAAGACCACAATGCAGAAGATGACGAGGTATGTCTGGACCCCGGCCCGTCGTCGTGTAGCAGTCGCTCATATGAAAGTGTTTCAGATCCAGTTGTAGCTGAAGATTCACCGCCTCTATCGCAGCATTCTGATAGCAGTGCGGAAAACGATGAGCCATCTCTGGGCGAGAACAACACAAGAAATGGACGGTTTTTACAAACTGTGCGAGGGATGGTAGAAGATATGAATCAATCAGGATCGAATGAGTTTGATACATCAAGCAGCTCTTCTTCTGAGGATGTCTT